AGGTCAGATAAGCACTCACTATTCACTTGATGGAAGGCGAAATACCCCAGCCATGTAACGTCTAAAAAAGGTACCCATTTTACTTGGAATCGCAATTCCACAGCCTGACTACGTAACGGCGATTAAACTCCACAGGACACGTGTTAGGTAACTTTCGTGAACTAAATATAATTATTCTATTTCAATGATTACGAGTTCAGCCAGGTAATACCCGAAGCTATGACCTGGATAAAACACAGAGCAGAGCCGAAGAAAACCCAAAAAAAGACATACTTTGGAGAAACTAACAGACGAGAGCACAGATATCTTTCAACCACAAACAATTGTTAACTTAACGTTAATTAAATAACATTTTTAAAATAAGATTGATTAAAATACTCATAAATTTTGACCTTTAACTTCTTCAATACGTCACTCCATCCTTTCAAATAACTCGTTTGTACCTTTGTTTTCCTTCCATTTCCCACACTGTCTGTCATTATGACTTCGCTAAACATTCGATTCCCGAACAACGCGTTACTGGTACACGATGGTACCGTTAGGGTTATGATCTGTTTACAATGAGGTTTTGTACTTTCTAAGGAATGCATAAAACTTAATATCGGTCGTAATATTTCATAAGAATAAGTCATACACCACATAATAAAGACTGACTCATAATTTAGGAGAATGTTTGTCGCTTCGTTGGTCTCGTTGGTGTAATGGTAGCATCGTGGGTCCGATCCCCACCAAGTCCAAAATATCTCTATTTATTTTTGATAATTTATTTTAGATTTTTTCTATCTAATTTATAATATTTCTGAAACATGTTGGACTTTGTCTGGAAATCTGGATATTAAACGGGTATTAGAAATTTAAACATTTCGTCCAAGTCACGAACCATCGCCCACAGATAAAAAAGATGTGAAGTTTAATCACATTTCGGTTTCACACTTATCGAAAGCCAAAATAGGTCGATAGCGCATCTTGCTTAGATGCTATAGGCTGGGGTATTTCACCTACCATGAAGTGGGCCCCATGCTTGTCTGTCCTCCTTTATTATTAAAAAAAATCGATGTGTATAATGTATATATATACATATTACATACGGATATTGTTCCAAGCTCGTGTCGGATGTTCTTGATATATCCTGAAGTATTAGCTTCCTTCTTATCCTAATAATTATTAAGAGTGTCCTTAAGCATTAAAAGTAAACATTTTCAGAAATAATCCAAAATATTTTATACAACCGAAGTTACAGTTATTCTAGACGCCAATGTGAGGGTAGTCTAGGATAAATTTCTCTCAAATTCTTAATTTAAAATAAATAATGAATTTCGAGAGTATTCTTATTGTTTGCACTACAGACAATACTGTATCGTCTATGCTTAAATAGATAATAAATTACAGACATTACATGCATATTGTTTAAGAATTGCTGTTAGAATAAATATAAATAAATAATAACGAAGTAATAAAATAACTTCGACACAGTGTCCCAAAGTTCAAAGATAGCCACGTCACTTACGCGGTAAATACAAGGAGATACATAAATTATAATAACATTAACATTGTCATTTCAATCATGTTTATTGATGCGATTGCTTTGTTTACTTAAGATTTACTTTACACGTTTATGTGCCTCGTGGCTCAATGGTTAAAGCATTGCCTAACGATTGCGTGAAGTGGGTACAATCCGGATCCGAATCTTTCGGCCAAATAAACAGATATCTGAACTTCATCTAAATAAGTTAGATCAGTGAAGAATATATTTATAATATTTCAATATTTGAAGTTTTAAAGCGTTAATATATTTTTTTATATTAAAATACACACTTCGAACCGAAGTCTATATTAAATTATAGGATTTTTTTGCACAATAATCAAAGAAAAGAGTTCTAACATTAGAAGTTTCGCAAATATAGTTGATATCTTATTCACTTAGAAAGAAAGTGGCGTCTGGTGTCACATATACAAGATGTATTGAACTACGGCTGCAACAGACGTACAAAATACTCGGCGTGCAGGTCGTTGATACTAAATTACAAGACATAGCCCAACATTAGTGAGAGTGAGACGAACGTAGTAAACACAATCAATTCATCTCTTTTCGACACGGATTCTCAAACATTACTTTACATTCGACAATTTAAGTAGCCTTTATTGCATATAAAAAATAAAATATGAGATAGATAGATAGATGATAAGAGTTGTTGCTTTTTGGAACATCAACTAAAAAACAACTCAAGATTCCAAAAAACTACTTACTTGCAAACGCGACGACACCGTTAGTCAATTCTGCAGAGACCCGGGTAGTTTCGCCATATACCAACTACGACGTAACAGATGGTGCTAGTGTAGAAATTTTTACTTTTAGATTAGAGATACCCTCCATCTCACCCTCACCACCTCAACCTCCCCTTGACAACCATAGTTAAAATATTTTGTTAATAAGTTCAACTAGTACATAATATTTCGCGTTTAAAACCGTTAAAGTGTTTTATATTAATGTAAACTACAAGCAGTATCTGTGCAAATATTTCTACACTAATAGTATATCTAACAAAACTACGTCGAATTATAGTATTAATCAACCCACGTAACCTTCAATTTATAATGCTATCAAAACGAAAATAAATGCGACATCTAAAACAATGCACGTGCTACATTTTATAGTCAATCGCCAAAGTGCGTTGAACTTTGAGAACCACTGTGTAAGGGCTCGTGGTTTGAACTCCCCTCGGTCTTGGCACAGTTAGTTTAAAGCGATCGTTCATTGCATAAAAAATAATAATACCGAAACCAAATGTGTCGTGCTAATAAACATGTTTGTATTACTAAATTTCTATTTCCTTAAGGCGTGGCAATAGACACATTTTTGTGTCCATCTCATTGTTTACTTATTTACTAACTGCGTAGTTTCGTCCGCGTAGGATAGTAATTTTGGACATACATACATTTTGATTTGCAAACCTAAAACCAAACCAACCGAAACCAACATGCTAATATTTGCGATGGCCACAATGGCGGTCGTACATCGTTCTTGGAAGTTAATCTTAACGGAAAATTAGTGTCGTGGACATCTTTTTGATCATTTGAAAATACATCATTCTTAATACATATTTTTTGGGTATCTTGAACCGTTTTCGCAGCATTGGAAACCCACAAAGACGAACTTTTCCCGTTTTTTTTTCGCTATTTTTCGCCCCCAATAATCATAATGCGATGTTTTAAAGCCGTCCTTGATAACCAACAAAAAATATTTTTTTAAATTCGAACCAGTGGTTCTTAAGATTGGCTTCTTCAAACAAACAAACTCTTCAACTTTATATACTAAAGTGAAGTATAGTTGAGCGCGATCACAAAAATATAGCGATACTCAAATTGAAAGTCAATAAACCTCTGTAGAAAATACATAAGGACAATTAATAGAGTATAGACAATGCATAATATTATATAAAAAAAAGGCAAAAGCCTTTTACAATTGAGCACATAGTAACATAGGTGTTTAATATTCACAGCGATTCCATAATTCGATTCTTGGATTTATACAACTGAGAATACCAAATGTGGTCATTACTCATACTGGCAGCTTTTGTCGTTAAATGCGATTGAATGAGAATAAATCTATATTGTGCCAGTATTATACACTAACTTTATAGTTTTCGTTAATATTATTGAGTCACCTTTGCTATAAAATACTTAATTGATCTAGCTTCATCCGTTCTGTAGCTATGACACCATAGACAAACAGGCAGACAATCTTTTTACGTCTTAAAAGGATTACAAGTCACAATTTCTGCATCTCAGTGTATACATTATTTCTAATTAATATTATTGTTATAGATACTAATAGTCTTTTATCCTTACTAAAGGAATTTTCCTTACAGATTTTTAGATTCTCTTGTTATCTGAATTACCACATATTCGATAATGAAAAAACCTTCACAAGGTGTTAATAATATCTATGTGTTAGTTTTTCCGTATTAATGTAAAGCAATTAAAAGCCAATTAGGAAGATTAATTAAGTGTTTAGATTGTTGATTAATGACAAATCATAACAGATTGTAATAACAAAATAAATGAGATAAAATCCAATTATAGGCTATTTGTTACGCCCTAAAGCCAATAGTTAAAATATCATTATCCGATTTGAAGTTATTTGTTTCGAAACGCAAACATTTAAGTAAACATTATAATAAATCTGCTTGTCTAGACTCGAGTCGGTATATTTGTTACTGAATTGTAATTTAAATAACAAAGTCCAAATTATTAAGTGCCATATCTGAACATAATTCTAAATTAGTTGCTATTATATTACGTCATAATACATTATAACCTATTGTTCGTTTAAAAAACAAATTCAACGTTTTTAGTATTTATTGAAGGTTAAGTTAAGGAATTTAGAAGTTTTCGTTTCTATCTATTAGCTTAATTAGAAATTATTCTACATATTAACTTTATACAGCCATTAATTAAAACAGCAGGTGATTCTAAGCAACATTAATTATGTATATTACAATTATTCCGCTCTCTCTCTCAAATATAATATACAGGTGCGTGTCTAATTCTGAATTAAAAAGCAAAAAATATTAATATTTTTATAATATTTCATATCCATACTTAATATCTCCATTTATACACTCAAGAGGGCCAGAAATAGTTCATAGTGCTGTTCTTTGTCAGTATTTCACGTTTAATGTCCAGGTTTAATGGATAAGTCAAAAATAAATCAAGCCAGGCGCGATATGATTCCGGTTATCTCAATCCACTTGAAACTTAGGACGATCTATTCTTATCGCGCTGATAAAGATAATAAAATATACACTCTATCCATTGAACTATGTATGCTAGCATCAGTTTAAATTTCTCCCAATCAAATACCATTTATAAGCAATAAAAGTACCAAATATCGTTGTTCCAATTAACAATATTCCGCAGAAAATGGACATACTTTCTGGTATTCACAAATACTTTCACTTAAAGTTATGTGACGAATGTTAAAGTGTCTATAAATCAAAATGGCCGTGACCACCTCACCAACCTACTGCGGATCGCCGATTCACGATGGATTTGCTACAATCCGTGCACCAAGGAGCCGGATCAAGATAAGAAACCTAGTTGAACCAAATCACATGGCTAATCTACCTCAAAGGCATTCCGAGTATTTTACACTACAAAGAACATCCAAAAATAATTTCCTGGAGAGCAGTTGTGGAGTACAGTACGTAACAAATGAATCGCAAAATGTAAATAAACCTTCAAGACTTAGCTTAACCGAACCCATTTATGCCAAAGTAAGCCCGCCGCAATCTTTATGCAACTCGCCCGTTAAACTTATAAATGGAAGGCAAGAGGTTCATTATAAGTCCATTAATACGAAGCCTCGGAGGCGCTTGCAAAGTTTAGAATTATCTCGAGAAACTGAGGCAGATAACGATGAAAAACTCAACGTCACAATAGTGAATAACGGCGACCGTCATACTTACGATACTAATATAGCAAGTCAGGACGTCGAACAGCATTCCGTGCGCACTGACACTACGGGCTCTTCCATAGACTATAGAAAGAGAAATAGCGATCGCGATAACTGTTCTGAATCCTCATCGTACCTTACCGATAACGACCGACCCATATCGAGCTACAGCGACAACTCCACGATACCATCGACGGATACAGAAGACGTCCTCAAAGATCTACCGAACAGGTCTAGATTCCATAAATCTCCACAAAAGTATGCGACTCTTAACATGAGAAGGCCAAAGTTTATAGATCTAAAAACACCTGTAACCGACAATCCGTTCTATGGAAGCCTCCAGAGAAATAAGATGGGCTACAAATCTGAACCAAATACACCGATATGTACAGAAAATGAATTAAATGATAGCTCTAGTATAATTAGCGATGTACAAAAAATACCAAAAATGCCGTTACAAAATAGAAATGGAGTGAGACGTTCGATCAGTGAAACGAATGGCTTTACCAAGCGGCTTAGCTACAGGCACTCGTTCAGTGCGGATTTGAAGCCTCAATTAAACATAAGAAGACCGCATAAGTGTTGTGAATGTATAACTGGTATTCCGGCTGATGGAGACAGAGAGACGCTTTCCAGGCCGTTAGGTACCTTATATGAATCTCAAGATCCAAAAGTGGGATGCCAAACCATTCTACGATCGAAGCCTCCAGTACCATGGTGGGAATTGGCTATAAAGAAATCAAGATACAAAAGCTGCCCCATTCTAGAAGACGTGAGTATATTTTATTCATTATATAATACTCGTAGAAGATATACAAGCTATTACGAACGATAAAACACAAATTAAAAAACCAAGTGTTATTATGAATATAAAGTGGTAGATAATTGATTTCCGTCTAAAAAAAATAATTGACTCAGTTCATTTGGTTAAATAGGCTGTTCTGTATGCATATTGTAAAAATGCTACTTTACAAAAAATGTCCTTGTTTTATATGTCTGTTGTAATTGCGTTATAAAATATTGACGTACCTTTAATAGTACAAAGAAGACAATTTATATCCAGCTACCATTTTTTCTTTGAACAGGTGCATCATGACACCAATATAATGATGGCTTAACTTGGGAAAAAATGTGTTGCCATAAAAAATTCTACCTGCTTGCCGAAAGGCGTTTATTCGTCACATGGTAACAGGGCCTTGATTTAGGAAGATTTCATTCATTTCACATTTCTATAGAAATGTATTTCCCACGATAATAAAACCAGTGTGACTAGGCCATTTAATAAAAATACTGTTTCCCCAAATATAAATGGGAAAGAAAAGTTGATAATAGAAATAAAAAAGGTGATTTGTATAATTTCTGCTATCGTTTGCTTTTGACATTTATATTAAAACCCGCTCTATCAGTAAACAAGAAAAATGTAATAAATTTTATATCTGAAAAATAAAACAACGTTTAGAACAAATACAAGTGTCATCTACTAGTATTATTATATATAGATCATACGCAGATCTAAGTACTAAATATTATATGAAGTTTTAAACAACTGAAAATGCTACTTTTAACTAATGAACGTTTTGTTACATAAAGCGATACGGAGTAGTGAATATGATCTTTAAATAAAACACTTTTTTACTTTTATAAACATCAAGTAAATTCGATAACATTTTTTTTATTTATTTTACCTACTACTACCGGCTATAAGATTGTTACTTAACTGTTAATAGAATTTTGGTTAAATGTGTACTACTTGCGTAAACCGTTGATAATACTTAAGTAACTTTTAACACTTTTACACAACAGAACTTCGTAACACTTGACTTGTTTCGCGTTTAAAACCGTTAATATAAAACCTTTATTAGACAACTGACCACTGTATATCACACTAACACTAATGACACACTTTCCTTACTTAGTCGCATCCGTGTTCAGCTTCACTGCTTAACTTGTTTATGGGTCCCTTATTTCAAACTCCTGCCACACTTATTATTCGGCCTACACTTGCCTCTTGGAGGTGTATCTTGAATCACATTCGGTCCTATTTTAGTAAAGTTCCATTGGCGTGGGTGCCGGGAAATTTAGCTTCCAGTGCGTTATAACAATTTAGATGATAGGCATTATTCGAATACCTTCTTTGTATAAAAACGATTTAGGATGTTTTGCATAAGAGTATACATTCTTTATAGAGATGAACCATCCTTGCGTTCGCATTTGAACCGTTGAACGCGTGCCTTTGGGGTTAATTTGATAGTAGGTGAAATACCATAAATCCTGTCTGTATGTTAACGCGAGTACACATTTAAATAAAAGACTTTTACGAATTATACCGCGTTATATAATAGTTGCTTATTTCAAAATTATTTTAACTACGGCCCGACATTTCGGATGCTTTGCAGCACCTGTGGTCGCGGGGAGGAGGGTGTTTCCACTAGTGACCGATAATTTTCAAATAAGTTTAACTAATAAATATCGCGTTTTTAACCGTTACAGTTTATTTAAATACCATATAACATCTCAAAAAGCGCTGTCGGTCTAACATAACTTTTAAAAGAAATTAAAATTCCAAATTTTAATATTTTGCTAACGATACGGCATTTATGGGAATTTAAAATATATTTAAGGGTTTAAGAAAGTCGACGATGACGTGTGCGACCGGTAGCTCATTTCGTTTTAGCAGCAGCACGCCCTGGACGCCGGTTCCAGTCTTTCCCGTGTCGTCAATTGTTGGCATCTAAAGACACATTATTGATCGATGAAACCAAGAGTCGTGTTTCGTAATAGTTAACGATATTAAAAAACAATTCACTCGCGTGTTTTACGGTATTATTCTGGTGTATTGCGTACCCGCTATCAACTTATGATATTAAGTAATAGCTACACCAAAGTTTCATTATCTAATGCAAAGTACAAACACGTGCGTGACGTTCACAAAGCTTTGAGGTCAATGTACTTTTAACGAGCCTTAATGTATTACGTCTAATTGTTTCACTTTTATACCTTTACTTCTAAATAGTTACTCTTTCCTTTATTGCCTTATAATCTACATAAATAACATTTCTCCCGCTATTATTCGGCTGTGGGCCTTTTAATTGTAATATAATTAGCTTATGTAATAGTATTATAGATTCTAATTAGCCAGAATAAATTTATATTTTCTTAAAATTGCATACATTAAGTAACTTATGTATTAAAATTTCCTGGATATAAAATATTATCTACTAGTTTACGCGAGCAATACATACATTAAATACAAATACATTAAATAACGGTTCAAAACGCAAAAAGTATATCCGTTACCCTTTTCTGGATACGGTAAAATACTGGCAATTTATAATAAGTGAATAGTGTTTTGTCCATAAAATCCTAAATATTATTATCATATATTTCATAGAATATAAGTATTTTCTTATTTTTTATTAGTATCACTAATTTTGTATAAGTATTTAAAATTACATATTTAAACCATCAATTGCGACAGTGAAATCTTATACTCGTAACTAGTCAATTGTCAAAATTATGACCTTATATTTGACACTTCATACTTCATGAATATGTTCCAATTCAATGCCCTTAACAGGAAAGATGCTATTCGAAGACACCGTATGCGCATCTATAAAGTTATGATAACGATCCAGCAACCTGTTAAGACCTAGTTTTCAATTTACAGGTGCTATTGCCAGTTTTTATGGTTCCGTACCCAAAGGGTAAGAACGGGACCCTATTGCCTACTTCGCTGTCTTTTACCATGCATTGGAAATTTTATAAAATACGGCATTTCTTTGCCGCCTTAACAAGAACGAACGAAATTTTTGTAAAAGCTTTCTAAATTATCGATAGGTATCTTATTTTCTACTAATATTGATATCTGGCTGTGTCCGCGACTTCGTGATTTTTTTTTTTGGGCGATCCTTTCTCATCTTAATAAATTTTAGGCCACGACGTCATACGCGTCCTATCCTTCTTGCAAGTTAATCATAAAGATAGACTTATACTATCTCATAACTTTTTTTAGATCGTATACAGAGGAATAACTCTTTCAAATCTCTCAAAGATGAATAATTTTCCTCGTTTTTACAAATTTTTCACTGTTTCTTTGATGGTCACAGAGCGATGTCTTACAGCCTAAAGATTTCCTCGATAAATAATCTTACGTACAAAAAAAATCAATTCGAACCAGTAGTTCCTAAGATTGGCATTAGCACTACAAACAAACTCTTCAGTTTGAAAGGTTACTATAATAATTAAGAAATATAGTATAAGTACGGAACCCTTTCGTGCAATTCCTACTCGCACTAAGCCTTAATTTAAGTATAGCACGCGCCAGGTGACCACTTATCTATCAATAAGTCTCGACTTTCCGGCTGTAATTGGGAAAACAGCATGTTGACGGGCAGGTGAATTGGTTTTTATATAAAAATACTTGCAATTAACATTTAAAAGTTCAACGGGCATTTAATTCTTGCAATAAATTTTTTTGTTATTATTACTCTGTTATTCGAATATAAACGGTTGGTATCTCACATCTGTTGACTACATTTGAAAACCCCATTACACACAAAGCATGACCCATTAAGCACAGATGCATAATATGTTTATTTTTTATGACACATCCCTAATTAGGTATGTGTATTTAAATAAAACGCTTTTAACGGTTTGAAATACGAAATGTATTAGTTAAACTTCTCACTAAGGCAGTTGCTGCAAAGCTTCCGAAACATCGGGCCGTACGTAACATAATTAGTTTAACTAATACATTTCGCGTTTTAAACCGTTAAAAGTGTTCTATTTAAATGTGTACTCGCGTAAATCACAGACAGTACTTAGGTATGTGTATATTTTGTACATTTTTTCTTTCTTACGTGTAAATATACTATTTTTTTATGTAAAATTAATCTAAAATATGGTTTTTTTTAAAATTAATCGAAACATTGTTAACAATTATAAAACTATAGTGAAATCATATCATCTTGTGAGTTATATTGTTTCTCAAATATCCGGCGCGTTTACGGAATTATGTTTCCTCGTGTCTTTTCCTATTTATAAATGAATGAATAAGTATTGTTTTGTACTAACACTATCGAATTAAGTAAACAAACAATAGACCACAAATATGTAAAAAATCCCAAAGGAAATTGATTCTACCAGTGGATAAACAATGTTTCGGTAAAACAAATGAAGCATCAAACCACTTGTTTGCTATCACTACCCGTGTTAACCATCAAGTTTTTGGACATGTCGGTCACTGAACCTTAATTTAATTTCGCTGAGTGCATTCCTGGGGTAAACCAAAGGGGCCCTTGCTCATCACACCCACCTTCACTTACTATGAAAACAATTTTATGACTCACACCATTCTTACTGCTAGGGTTTTCCCGAAAACTCTTATATTAGTTAAATTGATTTGTTCTTTCTTGTCAATACATTGAAACTTTAGTATTGTACGTACACGTAATTTTATACAAGAAACAAAATTATTAAAATCAAAGATAACTGTTGGTTAACTACTGTCTGTAGGTAGCGAGTAGTATGCCGTGACCACGGCTGCTGCAAAGCATCCGAAACATCGGACCATAGTTAAAATACCTAATTTCCAAATAAGTTTAACTAGTATACATCGCGTTTTGAATCGTCAATCTGTTTTATTTAATAGTCTGTTAGTTCTTAAAACAGAAATCGGAAAAGTGTAAGTATACATTATATGAATGTATCTCTGTACATATAAAAAATATATATTTTTTAAACATGAGGCTACTGTGCGCGTGTCGATTATAGGCTTCTAAATTTGTTTTTGCAAACCTTTGTAATTTATTATAGCTGTTACCCACGATAGTGTCCACGTCCAGTTTTTGCAATTTCATTCTAAAACATAGGTATATACTATCACAGACATTTTTTTTAATTTTTAAAAATTAATCGTTCTTTCATATCTTTTTAAAACGAAAACCTTTCTTGAAACGTGTATACGTTGTTTCGCTACTCGTTCCTATTGATTGTGTTAAATTGGACATGTTCGACTCGATAGGGATCGAACCTGCGTCCCGTTGATTATTACATTGCTACCATTCGACCAATAACCCGTCGAATACATTCACATCCGTCTATAAGCAATTACAGTCTCTTCACAATACGAATAACTGATCGTAATATGCGATTAGAACCATTATCAAAACGACGACCCGGTTATCGAACAATAATAGAAGCTCTTAGAAATCTCATATCTTTATATGGTCATCTCACAACAAAAAAACACATGCACTTAGACCAGTTTATCGTCAGGAAGTAGTGGGTTTGTACTTTGTAAATAGGGGCGTAAAGCACTTGTGTGGTCCAAATTAGTGTCTAAATGAAAACAAGTTGCTTACATTGGTTCTAAGAAATGCATACATCATGCTGATTGCACTTTTAAACCAGGATTAGTTATTTACTAGCAGTGCTAGCGACTTCGTCTGTATAGAGCAAAAATTTTGAAGTCTGTGCCGCCCCGTTGTTCAATTTAAGCAGTAGTATATGTCTGTATTTTAAGTTAAGTCTTAAAATATAGACATTTACTAGTGCGGGCATTTTTACGTCAATTGAAAAGAAATCGTTTGTCGAACCTAAAACTTTTCACACGTAACGCATCCTGGCGCATGGGGCGAACACATTTCTGTGTCCGTTTCTCTGATCCGTCCTTTAACAGCTAGGCAAGTAATAGATGATCGAGAACAAAAAGTTTTTGATCCGTGATTATGTGATTATTATTTTTAGTTGTAATTAAGTTTAAGTTTTAAACTGTTGGAACCCAGGACCTCTCGCGTTAAACTATTTGGGTTCAGATTATTTGTCCCAGCAACATAAAAATTTTGGTGATTAAAAACCACGGCATCTAGCGGTACAAAACGAAACTTATAATCGCAATACTAAGACGGTTAAAAATTTATATCTGTTATTAAATGGTATTGATTTGTAACTAATATATATATTTGTGTATATGTGTATGGAGATATAATAAGAAAATGTTTGTTACAGGCGCACGTGGTGTCTGCCTTCGAACAAAGCCTTTCGAACATGACCCAACGACTTCAACAACTGACTGCAACCGCAGAGAGAAAGGTAAATATACTTTCCGCCTATAGGCTTACGATATTCATAGTTATTATGGAAATTTATTTCAAACTAGCTGTAACCCGCGTCTTTGTCCGAATAAACTTCGACTATAACGTTTTTAAATAAAACAATTCTAACGCGTTAAACCGCGAATTAATTATTTTCGTCGGGGCGACAGTAAATAGTTTAGATCAGATAGTTCAAAGTCTAGCCTAGCTAGTAGCTAGATAGGTTTAAAAAATATTTTAGAATAAACAGATACGAAGCACGGGCGAGAGTAACGGTAAATCTTGTGGTCATGGATTTGAGTTCTATCTGTGTAATTAATTTTTTCAAAACTAAAATAGTTTTTTAATGTATTTGATTAAGTATTGTTCGTAATTTACGGTTTAAACGCGAATCTAACTAAGGCCCGACGTTTCGGTGTAGAAACCGTCATCACGGGGGAACTTCGGACCGTAGTTAAAATATATTGCAAATAACTAATACATTTCACGTTTTAAACCGTTAAAAGTACTTTATGCTGGGAAAGGAAATATAACAGTGAAAAGGACATAGGAATATGTTAAATTTTCTTTTCTTGTCTTATATACACGACAGAGAAAGTACACACTACAAAATAGGCCACTCAACACAAAATAACTCGACACAGGAAATAATAATCTCACTTAAGTGAAAGATGGCTTGAAATCATACTCTAGATAAGCGAACTAGTTACAGTCTGGTTTCCATAAAAGATTTGATATAATGTGCCTCGGAACACGTAAATAAAAAAGTTGTAATATTCCCCGCGGCTTACTTTGTACGTCTTTAATTAAACCTCGCCTTGCGATAAGTAGGTACTAATTAACTTTTCTTTACACTTACGATGTAGTAAAGTTGAGTTACAAGTTTATTTAATAAAAAGGTTCACTTATTTTGAATTAATCCACGAAATTGGGGTAATTAATGCCTTACTTGCTAAGAGTTAAAATTGTAACGTAATTCTTTCATGTCATTAAATTTCATCATTTAAAAATTTATTTATATTATTTAAAAGTAACAATTTTAAAATTATTTAACTACGCGCGATTTTTGGATTTAGCTAGTTAGGGGCTGTAAAGCCTGCTAAGGCGATCAAGGGTTAGTTATTTATTTTGCGTTTTAAACCGTTAAACATGTTTTATTTTAAGTGTGTACTTTTCGCCTAAAGTACAGACAATACTTATATATAATACTTATCTAAATTACACTATTTACAAATAATTTTAACTACGCCCGACGATTCATCTGCAGCGTATCGCGGGTTTAATATTAAACAAGTTTAAAATACTAGTAACTGTAATGCCGAAATGAAAAGGAGAAACAAAAAAAGTAATGTCTTATGTAGTTGAACTACATATTAATATTAGGTCGATATCGCATCTTGTTTAGATATATGCCTGGGGTGAACCCTTGCATGGGTGACAAGAATATTTTTCACATCTTTTTGCACATAATAGGATAATACAGATTAAAAATCTATAAATGATGAGGGCGGGACCTGAATCGGCATCCACAGCGTTCCGTGCTGCTACTGTAACCAATTTTTTTAGATACGGGTGCTCAGTTGGTTGGTATAGCAGCACGGAACACTATGGATGTCGATTCAAGTTCAGGCCGTTTCGTAACTTTTTTATTCTTAGTAGATTTTTAATTCTTTAACCTTAACAATAGTATATTTTTAATATTGAGGACCAAAAACATAACTATTAGTACTTTAGACTACAAATTAAAATAATCACTTTGTTTGAGAAAGAAATTCCCACTAACAAGTACCATATGTTTTAACGTTATTCATTTGATTACTTTCTTTAGGACTCAGAACTAACGGAACTACGTCAGACGATTGAGTTACTTCGAAAGCAGTCTATACAAGCTGGTCTGACCACGGCACACATGCAGTCCATGGGCATTCGGGCAGATGGAGTCAATGTCACGGGCCAGGTACTAATTTAACTATTAATAATAGAATATAATAATTACTTACTATTAATAATAGTACTATTTAATTGTTTATGTTTTTAATTGATAAAATTTTACTAGTTTCGTTTATCGTGAAAAGCTTTAGGTAATATAACATCGCGCTTCGACGAATGGGAGCGAAGTACAGTGTAGTGTAGTCGTGGAAAATTCAAGAACATTCAACAGTACCTAAAGATAGTTTTTTCTAATATTCATCCATTATACGTTGAAATTATTATGGAAGTATTTCAGTTTTTCTTCTAGAACTCTTTTATACTCTAGATAAGATAACCGCGTTATCTCAAGGGACACTTGTAATGAGGGTAGTCACACACCGGCTCAAATCATACATAATGAAGTAATGGGTCGTGATTAAATTAACAACGATATGTGGGTCGACTATCAATCATTGCGCAAGACATCATTAAACAGTCACGCTGCTCACAATGAGATCACGCAGCTAATAGGCCCTAGGTGACATTACGCAGTAATTATGGCTGGTTACAAGAGATCGATAATAGTAAAGAAAAAAGTTGTATTTCTTGAAAACGAAACATGTGCCTCATACGTTAGTATTACGGTTGAAATTAGAGCGCGCGAGAAATATATGTATGAATAGGTTGAGATTCGACTATGACGTGTAGAATACGATAGCTAAGTTTGAGAAGCAGCACGGAACGCTATGGATGCCGAGTCAAGTCCCGCTCGCGTCGTAATTTTTTTTTTTTCAATCTAAATTGATTTTTAATTTATGTGATCAAACATGGATATACGTTTATTATAAAACTGTTTTTGCCTAAATGAAATGCTTTCCGTTAAATTAGAGTGAACCTGGGTTTGAATCCTTGTAAAAGCACAATAAATTGTCCTAAGTCTATCGGGGTACAGAGTCAACATTTTGTACGCAAAATTATTATACTATTTCAAGAAAAGGTCCATGTACATTCTCAATTTCCAAGTACATTTTCCATACTTTCATGATATCTTAGTTACAAGATATCATATCTTTTTCTAAAAATTTTTTAATATGGAGAACCATTAATTTTATGTACATGTCTGAAGTAGAGATTTGTATGTTTCCTAATAACCTATGTCAATAAAAGACTGAGACTATCATCAGTAAATATAATTATGTATAACAGTAAGAATTTATGGCTTGTTGATTTAAGGGTAGCAATTATTCTAAAACATACTGATCTTTATACGATATAGATATCTTTAGACAATCTATATACGATTATATATATATAGCTAACCCGGCCACGCGTTGCTGTGGCTGAAGATATCGGTGTCGGTTAACCATAGCAGTGCCATCTATCGATTACTTACTCAATCCATTGTAACTGTCAATTATTTATAGACAAATAATTTGCAATAAAATAAAATTGCGACTATAATTAAATATCTAAACTATCCTATGTCTTGAGTAGGACCAGACTGCTCACGATGTGCCAATTTAATTTTAAATCGATTCAGTAGTTTAGGAATCCATAGCGGACAAACATCGTGACAGGAGATTTATATATATATATATATATATATATATATAATCGTAGAATGTTATAACTACATAAACAGAATTGATTCTTAGAATGTCAAGTCACTAAACATTGTTTCAAAATGTACCCACTTAATTACAAGACAGGTGCATTACATTTTAATAACAGTTGTTGTGAATGCCCCAAGGAATATTCGCCAACGAAATAGAATGCGAGCCACAATTAACCGTTATTAGTAATTAAACAATTAAAACGAGTTTGATAACCTTATTCGACATAGATAACATAGAACATGCATGAAGTATGCAGTTTAATAAAACAAAATAAGGACAAAATTAGGTCCATATCACTGCATGTATTTTGTTTCGTGACTAAAACATCTAATCTAAATCTAAACGCGTCGTGTAGGATTGGATTTGCATTAAATCGCCCATTAATGGACGCGCTGACAATCTACAATCTACATTTTTTAGGCTCTGTTCTCCTTTTAACTAATACTAATTGTGCCAGCGACTTCGTTAGCGTCACTCGGTACTTACTCGGTAGCTCAATTGGTAGAGCAACAGCACGGATCGCTGACGATGCTGGTTCAAATCCTGCCAGAGTCAAAAAAAATTTAAATTTATTTTTGATTTTTAAATAATATAAGTCTTGTAACGTTGAAAACGTCCTACGGTTTATATAAAAGACCACAGCTTACTCAAGTGACACAAGTATCCTGTTTAGGCCATATGAATAGATCGTTTAGCGTCCATTGTTTTAAATCGATCAGATTAATGAACCGTTTAAATAAGAACTCCTCAGGCATTACATTAGGATATCTGTATTCTAATCAGTCTAAAACGGTTTATAAATCTAACTCGAAGTCTTGTAGTAACAATTTTGCTTGTATTCTTCAGTGGTTAAAATGTCTTTTTTTCATCAGGACCCAACACCCACACCAAACCAACAATCATCACCACAGCGTCTGGTTCAGACAGGGAACGGCGCGATTACTCGCCACCTTTCTACGGACAGTGTTTCCAGCATCAACAGCCTAAGCAGTGGCTCCTCAGTTCCACACGATAAGAAGCACAAAAAAAAGGGCTGGGTAAGAAAATATTACATCACGCACATAATGTCAGCTCGTGTTGAAATCGCCACTTAGCACATGCATAACAAACTCCACTCCACTAGTTTTGTCTTATTCATTCCGTAGATATTGTGTAATAGATAATTTGCGGTAATTTTCTCACAGTTGCGGTCGTCGTTTACAAAAGCATTCTCGCGGAACGCGAAGATTTCGAAAACTGCGAAGCACGCTTCCCTTGGGCAACTGTCGTCTCAGGACAGTTCGTCCGGGTCACATCACTATGACGACCCGCACACAATCAGAGAAGGCAGCAACGAGAACAGCCTAGAACATTCCCACGAAACACTCGACAACTCGAAAGACAAGACGACTTGCCCCGCGGCCAAACCCGACGAACAAACCAAAGGTATTCAAGATTGTTATTATCAATGACTTTGTTAGTTTAATCAACTAGTTTGAACTTTTTGATTCGGTGAAAGTTTTACACATCCGTAATAAACTTGCGCCATACGTGATTATAGATAAATATCACATTCTAATAGATAATATGTTTGTTTGCAGAGAAACAAGACCAAGCCTTAGTAGACGAATTAAAGAGACAATTACGAGAAAAAGACTTAGTATTAACAGATATACGATTAGAAGCACTTAGTTCAGCTCATCAACTGGAGAGTCTTAAAGATACTGTTATAAAAATGAGGGTGAGTGTCTTCTATCACGTATAATGTTTATACATATATGTATATTAATATTACATATATTTATTAAATATTTAATACTTTGTGCAGAATGAGATGTTAAACCTGAAGCAAAACAATGAACGCCTCCAAAGGCTGGTGACGTCACGATCCTTAGCTGGTAGTCAGAGTTCTCTAGGGACGGGTGGCTCTGCAGTAGAAGATCCGAGAAGATTCAGTCTTGCTGATCAAGCCACTATGCATCAGGTAAATATCTGAGTAATATAATTTAATATTGAAATTCATTCCAAACGTGCTTCCAATTGTATGCAATTGTTAGTACTAATATTAGTACATTTGACACATTTTCTTTTAGGCGACAATGGACATGCATTCACAACCATTGGACCTGGATTTTAATTGCGTCACATCAACGCCGTCCCGAGATAAAAAGGGATCTCCTAAATCAAATATGGAGCCAATATACGGAAACAATGTAACCTGCGAGCTTAATGAAAATAGTGAAGCCATTCTCGGAGCGCTTAATGGTTCTAGCGATATATTCACTAATGGACTTAACGCCGGCGATAGAATGAGCGGAGATTACGATATCAACAGCGTGCTACCTCCACCTAAAACGAGGGAACTAGCGATCGGGGAAAGCTATTCTGATATCGGTAAGACAATAACGTCACTTAACAAGGATTAGATTAATTCGACATGAACACTAAGTGGTATTTGTTTTCAGGTGTAGCGGATAGCCAAGGTGATACGACGGATGGGAAAAAAATAGCAATAGCAGTGTATCTTGGACAACCGGAGACATTCCAGAGATATTTCGAGGAAGTTCAGGATACCCTCACTGAATCAGAATGCAGATTCTACGCGAAGCAATCTGCCAATGCATACAGTAACCACTACGAGAAGCAATCGAGTTTTGACTCGCCGCGCATGTCACAGAATCATAGTCCAGAAATAGAATCGCAAGACTACCCTCAAACTATAAATAAGTCAAACACTAATAGTCTTAAGAGTAACAAATCTACACATAGCAATTCCTATAAGCACGTTTACAATAGTGACTCGACAATAAATTGTAATGAATTTACAATAGCATATACATATATTTCCGGTAAGACGACGTGGCAAAACTTAGATTACATAGTGAGGAAAACTTTCAAAGACTATCTGTCGAGGATAGACCCGGGAACAAATCTTGGCCTCAATACGGACTCAATAACTTCGTACCACTTGGGAGAAGCGACGCGAGGCCCTGAGATTGGTTTTCCCGAATTGCTCCCATGCGGATACATCATCGGCACAGTGAATACGTTGTACATATGTCTTCAAGGTGTTGGGAGTTTAGCATTTGATAGCCTTATACCAAAAAATATAGTATACAGGTATGTTTCTAGACAAATGAATTACAGTCAATCCATTATATAATAGCAGCAGTAAATAATAATGGCTTCCGTTATAGATACGTTTCTTTGCTGTCGGAACATCGACGCGTGATCCTTTGCGGGCCAAGCGGCACGGGAAAATCATACTTAGCAGCAAAATTGGCCGAGTTTTACGTGCAACGGACGCAGCGGCGAGGAAATCCCGCTGAAGCGGTAGCCACTTTCAAGTACGTGTTTAGTAACAGTAGATAATAACTGTGAACTCATTATAATTATGTAATATAATAAGGCCGTTATATTTGGATTAATTCTACACGTTTATCTATTAGTAGGTAACTTGCTGATATTTTTGGATTCGAAAATTATAAATATGACTACATTTACATCTATGATGTTTGTCATTATTTAGTTTGTACGAAGATAAGTCCTTTTTAAACAAAACGTTAAATAAAAAGGTTTTACCGTTAAAAGCGCGAAATGTATTACATAGACGCCCGTGACCACAGGTGCTGCAAAGCACGACCAAAGTTAACATAATTTGTAAATACGTTTAACTGATACATTTCGCGTTTTAAACAGTTAAATGTGTATTCATTACTGAAATATTCCAAATTCGACTAATACAATATCCCATAATTCGAATAACCTTGCATCACATAATCTGTAACCTTGTCGTAACAATGAGTTGGTATTAAACTTCGTCTTGAAACTAATTAAAAATGGTTTTTTATTGTGTTAATGTTAATTTTAGATAGATCCCTGACCCCCAGTACCGGTATTAATTTATCAAATCACTTGATTCAATTTGTCTCGTCCACAGTGTGGATCGTAAGTCATGCAACGAACTGAGAGCGTACTTGGCGAATATAGCGGAACAGTGTGGAGCCACGGTCGGTGCTGATGAAGCAGCCCTACCTTCGGTCGTAGTTCTTGACAATCTCCAACACGCTTCGGCCCTTGGAGATGCCTTCGCCGGTCTGTTGCCGCCGGATAATAGAAATATGCCTGTCATTATTGGTAAGTGTATCGCAATTGAATTGAAAAAAAACCTCGGTCTTTAAATAAAACACTTTAACGGTTTAAAACGCGATATATTAGTTTAAACTTATTTGAAAATGATTTTTTACTTCGGCCCGACTTTTCGGATGCTTTGCAGCTGTGTGGTGTTTTTTGAGCCGTGAAGTCACGTAGGGGAGACCCTAAAGATGGCAGAATGTTACTCTGACGTCAAAGTACCAACCCCCCATCTTTAGTCTCCCCTTGACCAGATTGCTTTGAAGCATTTTCAAATAAAAATATTTTCAAATGTTTAACTAATATATCGCGTTTTAAACCGTTAAAGAGTTTTATTTAAATGTGTACTACTCGAGTAAACTATAGACAGTATTTAACCTAAGCCTTACTTTCGTAACAATTGATTGTATGTATTTTAGTCACGCAATGACTTAAATCATTACAGTATGTAATAGTTAACTAAGGACCTATCACATAAATGTTATAACGCAAAAATAAAGCAAATATAGAGTCAATGTATGTAGGTACATGATAGTTTTACAAATTCAACATCAAACTAACTCACACAATTACGCGAGTGTAGTACCTACACTTTTAATTTTTTTGTTTAATTTATTTTAACTACGCTTCAGTAGTAGCCATGGTCACGGGGGCGTAGTTAAATTAAATTTAATAATAAGTTAACGCATACATTTCGGTGTATTAAATCGTTAAACGGACTTAATTGATTCACTGTTTCAGGCACAATGTCGCAAGCTACATGTAACACCACTAATCTTCAGCTACACCACAACTTCCGATGGTTGCTTACCGCGAACCATATGGAGCCAGTTAAGGGATTTCTAGCTCGGTAAGTATCTTTTATCTATACAGTAAATCTTGTGCACCGCCGGACCGAAATATAATAAATAGTTTCGCTCGGAAAGGGCACAAAATGTATGTTACACAGTACGAGAAGGGCCTTTTCGCCGTAAATTCCACGTCGCACTTTACATTATATCAATATACGAAAATGGATACACAGACGAAACGTTATTCGTCTAAAAGTTGTCTGGCCTAATAAATAATTTGACAAAAGATAAATGCCCCAAACGTTTTAATCAGAATCAACCATCGTCACTTAACAATAATTTTACAAATGAAAGTGCATACAAAATTGGACAATCGTTAGTCGTCAAAGTGAAAATTCCGCGAAACGTTAGCAAGTTGGCAAGTGATAATCAGCCAAACAAGGCTGCGATCTTTGCAGAAGTTTTAATTGTTTATACAACATATACATAATACACACTCTCTGTAGTTTACGCAAGTAGTATATATTTAAAGAAAACACTTTAACTTTAAAAATTATCTTTTAAAAGCATCCGTAACATCGGGCCGTAGTTCAAATAATTGACAAATTGTAACTAATATATATCGCGTTTTAAAGCGTTAAAGTGTTCTATTTAATGTATATATTGTGTATTTGCTGTAAATAAATCCGTCCAGAGAAACGGACGTATAAATATGTCTCAGCTCAGAAAGCTAACGATATTTCACAATCTAGCAAAATATGCATTTTTTTTTCACCCAAAATAAATGTCTGCTCAAATAGAAATTGTATCCTAAGATTGTGTTTTTTTGGCAATTTCAACAATATTTCTCCCTTTAATGTCGGAAATAACGTTAAATGATGCTTGTACCGTTGTACGCCCGGATTACATTACACCTGAACAATTTTTGTATGTCGGAACTGTCATAAAACATACATCATCAACACGGTTATGACTCGTAAATGTTTATGATTTCAACAAACAAGCTTCGTACATACTTAAAATATATATAAAAACATCAATATCAAGTCTTTATCTAATCCATAATAAAAGAAAGAAAGATACTAACTTTATTTGCTCAAAAAAAATATAATATTAAATATATTATAATGGATATCTTGCTCAACTTGACTATTAGCGAAAGCTCTAAGGTTGTCACAATAATCGATATTAATAACAGCTAAAGAGCTGTTTTGTTTGAACGCGCTACCAGGAATTACTGGTACGAATTAAAAATATTTTAGTATTGGTTTTATCGAGGTAAAACACCGCGCTATGACATATAGGAGCTAAGAAACAGCGGGAAATGTGGAAAAACGGGGAAAAAATTCATCTTTAAGGGTCTCGTTGCATATGCTGTGAAAATGGTTCACGATTGCCAAAAAATATGTATAAAATAATTTCTTCTTTTAAATAATCTAAAACAGTTCTTCTATAAATAAATAAAAAATCCACGACATCTTTTTTCATCGTGTTCATGTTTGGTCGAATACTGCATACGGTAAAACAATATTTGCCAGGTCAGCTAGTATAATATAAACATTCATTTTATTTCGTAGGTATCTTCGTCGGAAACTGTTCTCTCTGGAATTACGGCTTGGACGAAGGGAGCCTGCGTTAGCTGCTGTACTGGAATGGTTGCCCGGTGTCTGGTCGACACTCAACGCCTTCCTTGAAGCACATTCATCTAGTGACGTCACCGTTGGTCCCAGACTGTTTCTAGCCTGCCCTATGGATTTAGAAGCTAGTCAGGTAACACTTCATTCTAAGTGAATGTTTCATGATTATCCATATATTAGTTATATAACGCGTTATCGATATTTCTCGTTATTTTGGGAATCTAATTTTGTTTTTGCAAACCTCCTTTTATAAATTATAGCTGTACCCACAACGTCGGTCATGTCCCTTCGTTCTTGTAAGTTAATCTTAACAGATAGTCATATACTGCCAGATACTTTTTTAGATCAGTTAAAGAACTATTTTTTTTGACATATTTTTAGAGTATCTTGACCCGTGTTCGCAGCGCACACAACGAAATCCCTCAAATATGAATATATTTTCCCATTTTTACCACTGTTTTTTCGCTACTATTATACGCTTCGTAATGCTCTATAGCGTAAAGCCTTCGTCGATAAATGGTCTAATTAATCAAGACAAAACAGTTTTTTAATTCGAACCAGTAGTTCCTGAGCGCGTTCAAACAAACAAACTCTTAGTTAAATGCTCAACCAATTATGATCTCATACAACTTTTACCCACCAGGCTTGGTTCGCGGACGTCTGGAACTATAGTATAGTGCCATACGCATCGGAGGCGGTTCGTGAAGGAGTGGCTCTATACGGCCGTAGGAGACACGCTGCTATCGATCCTCTACAACACGTTAAGTCTTCGTATCCATGGAGAGAACCTAATCACTCCCACGTAAGTTGTTTACAGACAACAGCGCAAACAATATTAATGTACTGTGTACCCTACGATTCTAAATACCAAACGTTTCTTTCTAGACTTTACGGCCAATTACAGTAGAAGACATGAACATTGAAGAAGGAGGCCAAGATACCAGTGCGAATACCAACCAAGATCCACTGGTGAGTTTGAATTTCGAATATTTAACTAGCTGACCTGGCAAACGTTCTTTTGCCATAGAAGGATTTTGACGATATTTAATTACCTACTATATAAAACGGTTCTTTTAAGTTAATGTTAAAAAACAAACAAACAGAATAAAATAAAAACCCTCAAAAATTACAATTTAAAGGTAAATGTGAAAAGAAGGCGTCTTTTCACATTTACCTCTTTTTCTTCGCTTCTATTGGTCGCATCGTTGGTCTTAAACCGTTTTCACCGCGCACGCAATGGAATCCCTGAAAGATGAATAATTTCCACTGTTTTTTCCGCATTTCCTTCTGTTACTTCACTCCTATTCGCTGCAGTTGTTTTATAACCTAAAACTTACCTCGATATAAATTAAAGAAAATGATAAATTTTCCATTCGAATCAGTATTTCCTAAAAATAGGGTGTGCAAACAAACTCTTCAGTTAACTATATAGTATTAGTATAAGCTTTCTTTGCCATCGGTGTTAAATTTTGAATAGCCTTATTGAAATTTGACCTTTTTACAGTTAAACATGTTAATGCGACTTCAAGAGGCAGCCAATTACAGCGGAAACCAAAGCCAGGATTCAGACAACGCAAGTATGGACTCGAATCTCACCCACGATAGCTCAATGGGAAACGAGCTTTAAATATACCTAAAAAAATAAATAACTCTTCGAGCTGCTAACGCACACTGTGAAGTGTGCCCCTATATTTATCAGTATTGTTAATTTATTTGAAATATTTTGAAATGGTTACATGTGCACAATTCCGTTTGCTATCATTGAGATTGTATCATAAATTATACGATCTTGATTCGTATATATTTTGAGTAATTTAGCACCGTTTTTTTCTGATTGATAGAGAATTTAAATTAGTTGTTTTGTATCGAAGCCTGAATTTAAGGTAAAGCGATTACGTGTCTACTGTATTATATTATAAATTATTGTTTTGCGATAGGTATAGAAAGCCAAATATTTGCCATTCTTATATTTATTTATCTGTTGTTTTCTTTAGTAATTTTTTCTAGTAAATATAAAGATTATAAAATGTCTAGATGGTTCTTGCGCGAACGACTTAAGATGAGACCGAAATATTGTTCAAACATTTGTTGCAACTGAAGACGTTCTTTCTAGACATTTTAGTATCAAAGGTTCGTAACAAATATTATAATTTGAAAAGAAAGGATTTGCTCTGCATATTTGTGAACGATGGCAAATATTAAAGCGAGAGTAGCAGCCTTTCTCGATCGTCTTAGTTGTACTTTTTCACAGGAAATTTTTGACTAGTTAAAAAGTTTCAATAAGTCTATTGGTTCGTGAAAAATACTCAACTATAGTGCCTGGAGCTATATATAAAAATTTGTGAAGTATTCGACAGTGTATTGCTGTTACTGTTTATATTATGAAGCATTGTGGCTTTTACTACTGTTATATTTTAAAGTTAGGAATATTGACGCATTACTATGTATGTAACATATTAATGGAAGTGTAATTTTTATACCATTTTCATATAAAACTCATGTACCTAAATTATTAAGGTGTAAATATGATAAGAATGTTTAATATAATTTTTTCTATGTACACTAACCGCTATTATGCCATATACAGTATATTATTTTGTATAGAAATGTAACTTACGTTACTGTGTTCGGTATGGATTGACTTGTGTGCATAAAAACGTGATATATACAATCTATGCTTTACATACATTGTGAAAATAAACTTTGATTACATTATTTCTTGTTATTCTTTCATCCAACCACTGGGCACAGGTGCTATAGGATTTAAAAGCTTAGATCCACCATACTGCTACAGTGTGCCTCATTGGCTATGATAACTAAAACTAACAACCACGAGTTTTTCAATATTAATGTGTTTTTATTATAATTCATAAAAAACCCTCTATAATTAACTAATAGAACTAAATACCAAATATTAGTTACACAGTTAAATAACAAATAATGTCATTAAATGGGAATGTTTGAGTGAAATAAAACACCAAAATTTATAAAGCAATAACTTTATTATAAAGGAACTTATGTGCTAGATACATTGTTAGATAAAAAAAGACTGTTCAATTGAAATTCACCAGACAAATGTAATAGTGGAGCAATTTGGACGGAACCTGTTCTTGCTTCTAGGACTAGAATATTGACTGAAACTTTAAAGGAACCTCTGTTAAAATTTTATTAAATAAGGCACAACATTCAGCGAAAATTAAACTGCTATTTGAATAAATACATGTAAACTGCAAACATGCCACAATACCTAATTAATTATTAATAATAGTATATTTAATTATACTAAATCTTAATAGTATAACTAATAAGTACATAGTATTTATTCTAAATATGTGATAAATGGTTTAAAATGCAACGTTAATAACTGAAAAAAAAAAAAAACCCCCCCCCTTTTTTAAAAAAAAAAAAAAAATTTTTTTTTTAAAATGGTTTTTTTTTAAAAAACATTTCGTGTTTTTTGTGTAATTTTTTTAAAAAAAAAAAAAAGAAACCGTCGGGGGGATTTTAAACCTTTGGAAAGGCTAGGCTAAAATAAAAGCCCGGCCTATTTAAAAGAAAACTGCTTCCTTTAAGCTCACATAATTTGAATCTTCGCTCTCTATTACAAGTGCATAAAACCAATCTCTACACTGTTGTCTAGATTTAAAAAATATCCTTTTAACATAGGTTAAATTATATTTTTGTTTTTCCCTTCACTTCAGGTTGCCTGGAAGAGATCGCGTAAAGATAATTTTGTTATAATAGTACATAGAATTAAAAAAAAACACGGTTTTATTTTAGTCTAGTCTACGCAAAAGTTTGTAATTCCCACGACTGTATCTATTTTATTATTTTTTGTTTTTAGTACATTTATCTTAAACATTGCAATGTATGTTTAACATAAAACCGTTTAACTTAAAAAGTATTTTTACCTTTTTTATTTTCTAGATTTTAGTTTTTATTTCGCATTCTGATTAATTCATTTAGTGTTTGTTGAGACCTTTCATTTGATACCCATGTTGATGGGATTAATAAAACTTACGTTATCCGCCATTTTGTAGAGGCCGCCATCTTGGATTTATAATGATAATGAATAAACATAATAATAGTATTGTCACCAATATCCAAAGTGTATACAAAATTTCAGATTAATCGGTTGACAGGAAGAGGGTGAAATTTGAATTACTAAATTTGACCCAAGAATAAATAATAAATAAAACAAACAGGGTGAGCTAAATAAAACAGTTTAAAAATGTACATATTAACAATTACCCACTTGCACAGGAAACATATTTTAAAATAGTATACAGTATAGAAACTAAAATTCCCAGAAAATACTTATACTCAACAATTTCAAATGTTAAAATGCTTGTCAGGTACCATGAAGCCGATGTAATTAAAAATTCTCAGCAAGTATTTACTGTTTATCTGTTTACTTTATCAGCAAATTTGTTAATCTTCAAAAAGTCAGACTAAAAATTTATAAGAAATAGAATGAGACAAAATAATTAATTTGCATATATTTCTTAAGATTATTCTTTTATGAGTTATTTCTAATCACTATGGTAGTCTAAGCTTAAATTAGATAGTGACGGAATTGGGGATTGAGAAAAGTCACCTGTATCATTGCTGGATTTACTTATATTGTCAGGACAGTTTTTCCCCAGTGAATGTGACTTTGACTTAGACATATTATACATATTTTTATTTCTAGGACTTGAATAACTTTTCTCACTTATTAAATCTGCAACTTCCGATATAGATATGGAACTTGCAGATCTTGGTGAATTTTGATTGTTGCTATAAGAATTACTTCGCTGGGCAGTTTCTGTATTTTGTTGCACATTTGTTGAAGTTTTTTCTGAAACTGGCGGTGATGAAAAGTCATAACTATAGTCAGGGGTGTGATCATACTTACAAGACTGCTCAGGTGAATGCTTTAAAGTATTAACATCCTTATAAGCGTTTACTTCCCTTTTTACTGATTCTGATGATGCACTGCTTAGTGTATGCAAGAAATCTCCTTTAGCAACTTCAGTTTCACTTTTTGGGCTAAGGACTTTCTTCACATTACCTTCTTCATATGGAAGACCTGCTGTATTCAATAGTTTCTCCTCCAATAAATTAAAGGGCTTTAGTTCTGCATAGGATGTAGAGTCAGTGCTGCTGTAACTTGTTTTAGAGTTTTCTAATTGTTTACAGTTCAATGATTTACTCTTTTCTACATTGGATATATCCTGGCAATTAACCAATTCCTGAGTCACAACCTTGTCGCTTACAACTATATTTTTATTAGGAACATATTCTGAGCTATTTTTGTTTCTTGTTGAGTTACTGGAGGTATCAGTGTCTGAATTATCTAAAGGCAATCTTAAGTCTATTCTATTCTTTTCATCTGATGAATTATCTGAGTGGGACCGACTCGTAGAGGAACTTGTGTCGTTATCTTGATCTACCGTATACGTGGAGTGATCTGCTTGATCACAGCTCTCATGAGAACTTTCACATTTGTGTGATCTTATGAAATGCTTTAATAAAGTAAGTAATACGGGTTCTTTATCTGTACTTACTTGATTTAGTCGTAATGTATCAATCATAGACCGCTGGCTTTTAACCTTATACTCTTTTCCTTGTCGCGATTCTGACATGTAAACAAACAATGTGTTTTTCAAATTGCAAAATTCTAAGAATTCATGAATAATAGACAAGGACAGTATTCCCTCTGGGATTTTTAAAATATTGTCTAGGGCTTCGTTTTGCTTTATATTCTCACAATCGTCTTCAAAAGCCAAAAATATATTGGCACGCAATAATGCGCGTATCTTTGCCAGTGATCCATTTTTCTCTAAGGCGTCAATCACTAAATCTCTTAGTTCTGTATCTTCTGTTTGCGCCATGTTTTACGAAGATTACAACGAAGGTAACGTTAAAATTTGTCAATTAAATTTTTAAAAACAACAAAATACATTTTTCGTAGTATGTATCTTGACAAGGTAGATTTGTTAGCATTTTTTATTCATAGATTATATTTCTCTTGGTTCTATTTGACAGTGACAGTCTACAGATAAATAATAGTTTTCTTTCATTCTCTCGCTCGCTTTATAAACACTTTAATGAGCTCAACTTAACAATTATTGTCTTTGTACGTTTGAAAATAATAATATTAATGGATTTTTTGTCCTATACGTGTCACAACTCCGACAACTAGTCAATTGTCAATTAGTGTTCGGTATGCCATTTTTATATGAATGCCCCTTGACAGTTTACATTTATTTCATACACAATGTTAACCACATTTTCTAATAATAAAGGATTTTTTAAATGAAAAAATAACTAAATCGTAGCATGAATACCATACCTAGTTGTAACAAATGGTGTTTTTTTCTTATTGTAACTGATGATAAATTCTTAAATTCTATTGAGGTAAGGATTTATCTATAATAATATTAGAATAATTTTCTTGTTACCTAGCGACTTTTGAAATCACGCACAAATAAATACCATACCAAAAAAACCAATCTAATAAAATATAAATTATTATCTACACACTAATTCAATCACGTCATAGAAAAATCTGTCTATACATTAGACTACGTGTATAGTGTATATAAAACTGTAAAATTACATACCAAGTTCGACTAATTAAAAGTTTTGATAATATCAAATAAAAACTCATTTTAATACCTTCCTTTCATAAAATTGTGACAAGGTTACAATATTAGGTTGTACAAACAATTGGCGCTCATTATAAAAATAATTCTAATAGTCAGGCAAGTATACATACCCATCATAGATCTTTGAGAACGTGCTCGATTACAAGGGGTTGAAGGCTTGCGCCGGGAAAATGTAGAAAATTCAGTCAGTCGGGTCGAGCAAGCGCGCGAGGTCGCTGCCTAGATTTTCCGTACAAACCAGCTCAGTGAAAGTTTTAGCTCATTATACAATAAATAATTATGAGATACCCTAAAATTTGCTAATTATAAGTAGCCGTATATACTATCGTATAATATGATACGAGATGATGTTTAAAAGATGCAAGTGCTGAATCACTAGTGGCGGGAAACCGTTTTGATACCGTCGGACGTGTTGTGTCCTATGTGTACATAGAGCGAGTAGAACCGTCTGCCCTAGAGGGCGGCCGACATGCTGGATTCGTGAATCGATATTTTTGGAACGTTCTACAGCAAAAATAATGAGGTTGAGAATATAATACAGGTAAATCGTAAATAATTTCATCCTATAGCTATTATATTATTCAAGTGTGTCGATTCACTCAAGGCTAAACGTCAATTGATGTTTCCATCGCAAGCTTTCGGTGAATGTCATAATTTAATTGGATAACGGAATTTATTGGTTTAATAAGTGCAAATTAGCAAAGACGGAATTATATAAGCGTAATAAATATACAAAAAAGCTTTTATACTATTTTTTTTATACAATTATTTGATTTTATACTATTTTTTATCAATACATTATTTATCTCTACTATTTAAATTAATTATAGTGTAATTTATGGTTATTATTTAAATCTAACTTAAACACATATTTTTGTAGTATTTTTTATATATTTGACTTAAGCTTTCTATCCAATAAATATTTGTAATATTTTTTAATATATTATGAGATTACGTAACATTATTCCAGTGATGAAAATAGACGCACAGCTTACGGATACAATTTTATCAGAAATATCAAAAGCGACCCCTACATTAGGAAGGGATAATGCTGAAAGAAAGTTATTGTCGGACAAACCCTTTCATATCAAAATAGATTTCTGTGGACTCGTAAAATTAAATAAACCCACATTATCTACGTCAACTGTCTCATTTTATCGCGGAATATAAATAACGTATATTTAATTTATTATTAAATAAAGTTCTTTCAACATTTTAAGACACGATATAAAATTGTTAACTTATTTTTATCTACCTTCAAAAAAATATCTCAGAATTTAAACCGTTAGAAGTGCTTTAATTTAATGTATTGTTGGAGTAAAAAGTGGTTTAAAATATTTTTAAAATAAAACCTTTTTCCGTATCCAATAGCTACTGTTAATTCGTACTTAATGTAATTTAAACTTATGTAAAGGTAAAAGCTACTAAATATACCACCAGTAAACGTAAAATCCGGTTTCCCCCTGTGGGACATGGGGAGAACTGATGTCTGTGTCCGTATCATTCATCGGCACCTTAACAGGCAAGTAGTGGATCAGATTTCTGTGCCCCGCCTGAACCGATCCCTAGTTTTGCAAAATTCGAACACAGGACCTCTCGCGCTTAACGCAATGCAACACATTTAGCCGTTTGGGCACAAAGGCGGTCATTACACCACCGATAATTATGAAAATAAACATTTAGAATCTAACTAAAAATACACAAAACCTGTATTAGTCTAGTTAGCATAAATAAAGTACTTTCAGAAGCAATCAATAAACCAAGTGTATTTTTTAAATTAAAGCTCCCGAATGTTTCGTAACAACGAATATTATGACTTATTATTTTTGGTTAACAAAACGTGCGTGAGAATGAACGATTTCAAAACGACATATAAATAACCAAGTTACCATATTAATTTACGAATAACACTTGCCGTTAGTGGGTGGTTCGGGCTTTTCCAGCGAAAGGGGCGATATTCTTGGAGACAATCGATATTATCGTCTGAATATTTTAAATCTGTGTGACTGATTGGTGAATTAAGTTCTTTGATCTTTACAAAATACATTATGTTCAAAGGATACATAAGACAATACTAGTAAATTATTTGAGCTCGTTTGACCCATGGTAAGAATACTAATGAAAATCTATATCTTAATAAATATAGATAGAAATGTTTTCATGTTGCTTGCGTCCTGACTTTGTCGACAAATCGATAGGCGTGATATATAAATCCGTGGCTTCAGTCAGTCGATTTCCGAATGTCCAAAGCCAAAATGGGTCGACCTTAATTAATGTTATACAGGCATTTTTATTTCCCTTCAATCAAGTGACCCCCGTGCTCGTGTCACACAAAAATCACACATAAAAGCCGTGTTAGGTTTTTTGTATGTCGTATTTGAGTACTACTTACGTTTTAGCAATTAATAAATGTATGTAAATTGTATACACATTGTTGATTTGATATTATTTATCCATAATAATATTACAAAGCTGAAGAGTTTGTTTGTATGTTTAATTGAAATCGGTAATCTCGCGAAATACTAGTTCGAATTGAAAAATTGTTTTCGAATGCAAGCAATGTTAATCTTGATCATAGTAGGTTTACTTTTAGTTCGAACATATTGAGGGATCCTACAGACTGTTAGAGTGTTTTCTGAGGACCACAGCCTTTAAACCGCCTTTTTTTTAATTATCCAATATATTTTGCGTTTTAACCATTTTAAAACAGTTTAATGTATTCCCAAGGACATACTAAAAATAACAAATCCACCATTTCGCAGTGCACCTGCAAAAGCTGAATCGAACGATTAAACATTCATTAGATTAGACGCGGTGGGTCAAAGGTAATGTAACTGCATCTGTCCGTGAGGTGTAGGTATACCGTTAGACCTGCACTAAGATATTCTAATGGAGTCTTGGTAGGTTTGGGTTGTGTCCAGCGGATGCATGAATAAATGATGCGAGTACGATGTCGGGTTTCTTAAGGACTTATTTTTCCACTCAGCTTCTCGTTCGCGACGTGTTTGCTAAGTCACGTATGAAGAGATAAATGTAACGTCCTTATTGCGTATCGAATCATAAGCAGATAACCTTCCGGTTTTGCTGCAAGGGGCGAAAATATTGTGAACAGTAATCTATTCCTTTCTCGAACTACCCTTTAATTATCTCATAAGTTCTAAGAGCAAATAAGTCAATTCTAGACTAGGTTGTAGATCAAGATGCTAGTAAATATAGTTTGCTTATAGAGCTTGATATAGCTGGGGTGTATAATATCTAAACAAGACGGAAGTCCACAGACTAAAACTGAAAGGCGATTAAACGTTACGGTTTTGCATCTGTAGACGGTGGCTCGTAACCCGGACGGAATGGTGATATTAGTAACGTTGTAGTATTTAGTATCCAAATTTTCAAAATCCAACATTACCGAAAAATTTTAAATTGAGAACCCACGACAATGTATAATGATCAACGTTGGATATACATTAAATACAGTCTATAGTTTACGCGAGTAGTACACATTTAAATAAAACATTGTAACGGTTTAAAACGCGATATATTCGTTAAACTTATTTGAAAATGATTTTTCACACGGCTGCTACAAAGCATCCGAAACGTCGGGCCGAAGTTAAAAATCATTTTCAAATAAGTTTAACGAATATATCGCGTTTTAAACCGTTACAGTGTTTTATTTAAATAGATATACATTGCTACCATTACTATTGATAATGTAAAATTTGTAGAATCTATATCGATTCAACCGTTTCGTGTTCACTGCTGGACATAGGCCTCCCCCATTGACTGGTCGTTCGCTAGTTGAATCCAGTGTTTCCCTGCTACCTTGAAAATATAATCTATATATAATATCGATAATAGATAAACATGTCAAATATTGTCTGTAGTTTACGCAAGTAGTAAACAGTTTCGTGTTTCCCCGTGACCACGGCTAAGCATCCCAAAATGGGTTGTAGTTCAAATAAGTTTAACTAATTTAAATCGCGTTTTAAGCCGTTAAAGTGTTTTATTTAAACAACATGTATGTTTAGTAGCTAAACCTTACCATAGACCATGGCATAAATCAGAACTGAGACAATTAAGTTCACATGATTTCGCAATAGTTCAAGCTCTTGCTATTATAGACGGTTGGAGACTGTTCGGGGTTCATTGGAGCAACAATAATTTATTGAGATCGATTCCGTCCTCGCGTTTCGACGATGGCTTTTCAGATGCAGAATAATTACAGC